TAAGTTTGGTAATTTAGAACTTAATCGAATTCTCAAGTAAAATCACGAACAAATTATCGATAATCATCGCAATATATTAATAATAATAATTGGAAATAGGTTGAATGCGAAAATAAAAATTAAAAAAAAAAAAAAACTGAGGAAGGGAAAAAGGGAATTACTAGCCAGGAGAAGACATATTAGACCCAGAAAGATAATTTGAACGAATGCCCAGAAGTTTCAAAGAAACCCCATCAAAATCCATGGGACGGATCTGGAAGCTTCGTTGGGCTTTCTGGGTTTTCCTCGCCAGATGACGCCGTCGCAGCAGCCCACTACCCCGCCCCAGCTAGATTTTCGAAATCGCAGCGCCGTCCCTGCCGAGGATTTGAGAGGTGAGGGACGATTGGGTTTGTTTTGGAATTGGGTTTTTGAGATTGATGAACTTTGGATGGGGGGTTCACGAGCTTGAACGAGAGAGAGAGAGAGAGAGAGAGAGATCTGAAAACACGAGAGAGGGGCTTTGGTTTTTGTTTGAATTGAAAAGAGAGAGATATGAAAAACCTAAACTGATATCTTATATAAAAACCCAAACGATCAATCGATCTGCAGAGAAGAACGGACGAGCTGATATCTTCCCGTGAGGATTTCTTCCTGTGAGATGGACTGGAAAATTAGGGCATTTGGGGGAAAGTTGGAAATTTGAGGAACCTAACACCGGCCTTCAATTTCGGAATCTAGCAGAGCAAATCCTGAGGAAACTTAGGGAAATTTAGGGAAACTTGGGGAATTTTGGGGAAAGAGATCAGAATACTGTGTGGGAGAATGAGGTTCTTTCCCTTGGCCGGCCAAATGAGTCTTCGACAGTGTGAGGTTTTTTTTTTTTTTTTTTTTTCCTTTGTATAATGCATTTCAGAGCAAATAAAAAATAAAAAAAGAGGGAGGAGCGAGCGGAAAAATTAGAAAAATTATTTTCAATGCCTGCTTAATGTAATTGTAATATGTATATTTATATATTTTTAAATATATATATAAAATAAATCTGTCAAAGTCTCATGAAATTTTAACATATATATATTATAATTATTTCTAAACGCTATTATATAGCGGTGCAATAATATTTTTTGAGAAATGTTATAATTAACCGCTACGAAAAGCTTATTGTGGTATAATTCTGCCCCCATATTAATGTGTAACCCTGCAATAAAAATTAAAGCTTTTAAAAATAAACAAGAAATGATAATTTACATTTATATTTTGATGTTTTTAAACTTTTTTCGCTTATATGTTAGTAATTACTTTTGTATTCAGTTTGCAATATATTAAGAGTTTGGTTTTTATCATGAAATCTTTGATTTTAATCTAAATTAATAATGATTTTCTACTCTATTTTTTATTTTAAGTTGCCATAATTTTAAAATGTATAATTCTATATGATGAGAAATGAGACGGGTATAAGAAAGACTCCTCTTGTTGGGATTTATTTCCGGAGATTGTTGGGATTTGTTTTTCAATTTGTGTATTGATTCTAATCGTATTTGATTGGCAGTTTTTTGAGAATGTTTGGCTGGTTGATTGTGTTTGAAAATAGATGTACAGCTGGCTAGCTTTTTATGAAAGGTTACTAAAAGATCTGGAAACTTGTTTAAGTTTCTATTTTTGTAAGTCAACTATTGATTCAAAGATGAAAAATTGATTTGATTGATTCTTGATTACGATTTCATAGCTGGATGATCTTCCTATGTCGCCTAAGAACGTGTCCAGGTTCGTTTATCAGTTTTGGGAAGATTTCAGAATGAAAGGAGATTGATTGGTCTGGTTTTGAGAAAGTTGACCGTGACAGCTATGTTGCAGTTATTGTTGCAACAAGGATCTGCAACAGATTCGATTCAGCGAATTAATTGATGATGTGTCAAGCTATTCATAGCTTGCTTATTTTTGGAAAGTGTCTCTTAAATCTTTGTACGCCTTTTCATGAGTTTTGGCTGGGTTGTGAGACAGGGGTGAGCACTTGTATTCAAGAGAGATGATTTGAGTGTTTTTCAGGAGAAAAACTTAGTTGGAGGAATTCCAATGTTCAAAAGTCGAGAGGATCTCGCTGTTCAAGTCCATTAGAAAATTGCAAGTTCATAGGTATCTTCTTAGAGTATGAGTCTCGGGTAGATTAAGTCCAATTGAATTGTAAAAGAGTTCTTAGTGAATTGTTCATCATCTGGGCGTGGCCCTGCGGAGTAGAGTGCTACCGAATCGCGATATCATTTCTCTCGTGTTCTTTTATTTTATGTTTCTACATTATTCATATTGTCTTATAATGTTTTAAAATACTCAAACCAGTACTAACACCTTTAATGGAGAATTTTCGACTCTAACTCCACCCGTCCTTAAACAAGAATGAGAATGGAGATAAAAATAACTTATGGTAGCGGAGATGAAGATGAGAAATCATCCACCACCCCAACCCTACCTCATTGCCATCCCTATATATATCTCATGGACGATACTTCTTTGACTGGGAATCATATTGACTTTACCGAAAAACCTATAAAAAAGCAAGTGTTACATCGATAAGTTCGTTAATAGTCTCGCAACTAGGTCATGTATGTTTTAACTTCTTCCTCAACAATTAGATCAAGAACGACATTTGGTCATTGTCAAAACAACATTTTTTAGGCCACGTCGGTAAATGAACTTTAATCTGCACATACACAACTTTTCCTTTTCTTTTTTCCATTCTAATGGATTTGCCTCGTTATCTGCAATTATATATTATCATTATTTTTGATGCAATCTTGAAGCAATTATTATTATTTGAATTATTTTTGATGCAATCTTAAAGCAATTACGTGTGTGAATTTGCGGTAACAATTAGAATAGAGAGTAGCGGAAAGAAAAAAAGAAAAGAAAAGAGGGTCCCATATATATATATGATATTGCATTGCACTCACTAAAAAAAGAAAAAAGGAACAAACTAAAAGGAAAAAAAAAACCAAAAAAAGCAAAAAGGAATAATTAGAAACAAAATTCAGAAGAATACTAGTGACTGCCGAATACATTTGTTTTTTTTTTTCAATGGATAATGGGAATACCATTATTCATGTTGGGAAAGTTATAAATGGAGTAACTTCCATTTGTGTGACGAGAGAAAAAAAAAAAAAAAAAAAAAAAAACCCAAACCCAATGTACCACTTCACATACCAACGAATAATCGTGCCAAATAATGCAAACGATCCGATATGAGACACCGGAACTAAAATCCAATTTCGGATAAGGATGAAGGGACGCATTAGTTAATTACATATATGTCTATTATGCATGAGTTGAAAAATAAATGTCCACAAATTGTAATATTTACACATAAGTATGTAACATAACCCGCAATGACATTCTTATTCTTTGTTAACCACTCCATAACCACCAACACAAAAAAAGAATATGTGAGTAATATTATTAAATAAAAGATAAATTTTGAACGTGAAAGTATAAAAGTGATCATTTTGTATAAATACTTCCGCATTTTCAATTTGTTCCACAAGCCATAATTGTCCACGAACATAGCTTATCGAAAAAATATAAAATTTATCCTTAAGAGTTTATGAGTATGGACCTTTATCCCTTACTCTTGATAAATACTCTTTTGTTAATGTAATTATTTGACTAAAAAAGTTATAAATCAAAAATAAAAAGTAAAAATCCTGACTCGTGTACTTTTAAAGAGTATTTATCAAAATTACCTAGACGGAAATTAGACTTAGGTCGTTGGGTACAAAGAAAGTAACACGTACATCCAAATTCAATAAAACCTTCTAAAAAATGAAGTGAAAGTAAGCTTCCTTCTTGTGTCACCAAAAGTAACTATAAAAACATGATAAGAATTAGCTAACGTTATCGTCTTCACTGAAAAAAGTGAAAAGAAAGTAAGATAAAACAGACCAAAACATACCATCAGAGCTTAGAGTTTGACAATATATATATATTGGGCAGTTGAATGACTATGCGTTAACATCATGGAGAAAGAAAAAAAAAGATGGAGAAGCAAGGGACATTGGGTGACCTTGTGTGATATTAAAATTCCATAAAAAAAAAAGATGCCGGTTTCTGGTAGAATAATTTGTTGAGGAAGCTATTGCTGATGCTGTACACTTTATACGAAATTACTAATTTCAAAATTTAACGTTATTTTGAAAAATGACACACGTAATAGAAGATGGATCGCATGACAAAGGGTGCTTTTATTAGTTTTGATGCTTATCTCTTAGCATCAGCATTTTTCTTTTAGAACTTTACACGAGACGGTCACCATTATTACCCACTATAAATAATGTACACTTGCGCTATTTGCATTTCTTTCTTTTCTCCCGTTACCCTTTCGGTCCTCTCAAACCATACACGAGAAATAACATATTTTAAGAGTAACGTTATTAAATATCAATATTTTAAGAGTAACGTTATTAAATACCAATAGTAACACCACCCACTAATTTAAACACCACTCACTAATAGAAATAGAATGTAAATCCTACCGCGTGGAACTTAATAAACGTTTAGTTCACGAATTTAAAATCATAATTCAAAATCATTTTCAATTTACATATATTTTTTTTAAATAAATCACAAATCATGATTCAAATTATAGCACGAATCTTCATACCAAACACTTTCTTATAAATTTAACCCACCTTTTTTTAATTGATAAAAACCCAATCATTCGGCGGTGATGACCTTCAATTCATTCATGTAATATCTCAAACATGCATGTTGCTTCAAGGAAAAAAAACGGGACTAGCTTTGGTTGTTGTTAATACTTGCAAAAATCGATGAATGATATTCCAATAACTACTCACTAATACAGGACATAATCTATATAACAGACATTAACTAACAGTTGGTGCTTCATACAAATATGAAAAATTACATACATTCATAAATTAAATACATTAATATTAAACGCCAATAACGGAGTAGGACCAACGACATGTACCATACCGTATGCATCCCACCACTATGGCTTTCTCTTTAAACGGCAGAAGAACTGCATGAAACAAATTTAGTACAAAATGTAAAACAATTTCTCATTTCTTTAATACACGTAATGTCGATTTTGCACATATTTTCCACATACATAAAACAATTTCTCTGTTTATTTTTATTTTTATTTTTTGTTTTTTGAAAGAAATTTTATCCCTATATATTTAAGAAGCAAGAAATGAGCGCATCTTTGAAAAGATGGTAATCTTGAAATTACTCTTTCTTTTTGGATGCTGAGTGTTCTTTTTCCAATTGTTCAAACAAACTTCCATCATAAACAGCTCTGACTGTGTCCTTTTGAAGCAACCCATTCTTGTCCTTGGCGATATTGAATAGTACAAGCCACTCGGCCAAGGCACCGATCCTGCGATATTTCAATTTTGACATTTTTTTTGTTTGTTAATTTCATGTTTATGTAGACAAAAGGTAAAGAAAAGATGGCACAAGTTACATATTTTGATATTCAAAATCAAAAAGAGAAAATTAAAAGGAAAAAAAAAAAAAAAAGAGAAAAAGGAATCCCACCATCCACCAATGTCCTTGGGTTGTCTATTGTCCGTTAAGAGCTCCCTTAGTTCTTTTTTTGTTAATGCGTCAGGATTTGTGTGTGCATGCTTGATAAATATCTCTTCAAACTTTGATGGAACAAACCTAAAAACATTGAAATGCAGTGAATAAATCAAGCTGTAACAATGTACTATGCGGAAAACGTTTAAGAATACAATTAAAGTGAAAATTTTATTTCTCCAGAAAAAGGGGAAATTCTTTTGTCGGATGAAATATTAACTATGTGTATTTTAATTTTAAAACTACTTAAATTTTGATCGTTAGATTGGTCTATATGATTTTCGTAATTACTCGACTTAGGGATTACATAAAATATCCATTTTAATAAAAGAACAAACATATATCATTTTCTACAAACATAATTATTCTTTGCGCTTTTTTTTTTTTAGAAGAAAAAAGAATCAATCAAGAAGTAAAAATCTGCTTTTACAAACGGTCCCAAAAATAAAGGCATGAGATCTATCTTTTATTGATAGGTGATTCTTACCCCAGGGTACCCAATAACAATATTATTCATTGCATATACTTAAAATCTTGACGTAAAAAGAAATAATAAAGAAAATTTCAGTTAAACTATTATTTTTTTCAACTATACAAAATTTTAATGCAAAAATAACTTATAAATTATTAATCACATAAAATAAATTTAACAATAATGACATGAACAAAAAAATAAACAGTGACGTAAATAAAATAGTGTTATAAATAAAAGATAAATTTAACAATAATGACATGAACAAAAAAATAAACAACAGTGACATAAATAAAATAGTGTTATAAATAAAAGATAAATTTAACAATAGTAATATAAATAAAATAGTATTATTTTATTGATTATATTTTTGAAAATTATTCTATATGCTTTCAGGGAAAAAAAAAAAAAACAAATAAAATATGACATGTACCTTCCTTCGCTGTCGTAGGCACCAGTGTCACTCCCATGTTTTCCCCGGTGTATGTTTCGAATCTCAATGGGGAAAAGTAGGTTGGGACATTTCTCCTATTTGTGGTGCCCAATAATTTAAAAAAAAAAAAAGTGTCATAGATGACAGCTTATGGTTAGTAAAGTGTTTCAATCAAATGTAAAATTTAGGCTAAGTTTAAGAGAGCACGATAAATATAAATATTGTTCATTTTATCGATTTAAATTTAAAATTTAAATTTTATTATAATAAAATCTCGTTCATTTCATCAATTTAGAAATTTTTTTTAGAAATAATCACATCACTTTTTATTAGAGTAAAAAAGTTTTTATATAAAATTACGTTCCAATACAAATTAAAAATTTAAATCAACAAACTAAACATCTCAACTTAATTAAAAACTCGAATGAACTAAACGCGTAATATATTAGAGACCAAATTTATCGACAAGATCTCAGAAAGGAAAATAAAATAAATAAAATAAATATCATAAAAGCAAAGGCAGGTACAGGTCGAGTTTTGCCACTGAGACCAATATTGATGAAGAGTGCAGCTAAGCTAGACAATGGGATGCCACTCCCAATTGCACGAAATCCTGTTTGGAGAAATGAAAATTTAATGAAAGCTTTAAATAAAAAAAATGAAATAAAAGAGAAATTAAACTACAATTAAATATGATCATGAAAGAATAAAAACCTTTGAAAGTCTCCCAAGGATAAACGACGCCGTCATGATTCCGGTCGAAAAATGCAGCATGTTTCTGCAGAACGAACTCGTTACTGGGTATGAATTTTTTCTCACCATTTTCTGCATAATTCACAAATTGTAAACTTCAATAATACCAGTAAATAGACATAAGAACAACACAAAGTAGTACAAGAATTTTCGTAAAAAAAAAAAAAAAAAAAAAAAAATTTTTGAAAAAAAAAAAAAAAAAAAAAAAAAAAACCAGAGGAGAGCCAGAGAGAAGAGAGAGCTTTGGTTAATACCTTGTTTGTTAATATTGCTGGCTGATACAGAAGTCGAAGACATAATTCAGAAAAATACCCCAAATCGAATTTGAGAGAGAGAGAGATGTTAAATAAAGAATAATGAAATGAAAGCGTTAAACTTAAGCAGTAAATATATATATATATATATAGAGAGAGAGGATTGCGGTTTTGAGGAAAGTTCTTATTTGCGTCTCTTTGAAATAGAGAGCAGAGACTTCACACACGTGTCCTATTGAAAACCTCATTTTCTAAAATTTTGATTTAGTACGATACTTCTTGAAATGACACGTATTAATGATATTTTTGCCGCTCTTCTCTAGTACTCCAGACGTGGATCATTCCACGTTCGTTGTTTCCATGGCTTGAACCTAGTAATTAGAGTCCGTTTTGAGTTTTTAATTTAAGTTAAGATGTAATTTTATATGAAAATTTTTTACTATAATAAAAAAGTTAAATATGACTGTTTTTAAAATTTTTTTACTGTAACAAAACTTAAATTTTAAACTCAAATTAATGAAATGAACAAGATCTAAAAATATGCTAGATGAATGATCAGTTACATCGTAAAATGCGCCGTTCTGACTCTACTGTCTGAGAACATTTTGAATGTAATGCTAGATTAAACATTATTGGCACTATTTGGGTAGAATAATTATTTTGAATTTTTAATTTAAGTTGAGATGTAATTTTATATAAAAAAATTTTATTATAGTAAAAAAATTAGATGTGATTATTTTTTAAAATTTTTTACTGTAACAAAACTCGAATCGGTGAAATGAACGATGCCTAAGTATGTCTCGTTCATTTCACTAATTCGAGTTTTTAATTTCAGTTTTTTTACAGTTAAAAACTCTTACAAAAAGTCATATCTAACTTTTCTTTTAGAGTAAAAAACTCTCACATAAAATCATATCTCAACTCGAATTAAAAATTTGAATACACAAACTGAATGAGACCGTATTTAACATTATTGACTCATCTCTAATGTAAATAACAATACCAATTGTATATTTAGCATTAAAAAGTGTGATATGATATGTTATTTTTATTTTTACTCTCATGCATAATGCTATTGAAATGTTAAATCTATTTTTTTTATCATAATTATTAAGTTTTGAAAGTTGTAAAAGTAAATTTTTATTTTTAAAATAATTAAAAAATATAAAAGTTATAATGATGATATGAAAAAGTAAATATTTCAACCAATAGCAATTAAATGTTAAATTTCTTATATGTCATATTTGGTAGGAAATTTACCACAAAATATAATATATGAAAAATTTAACACAATAAATAACATTACATTGGAGAAATTTTTTAATTCAAATGTTAAATTTACAATTAATATGTCAATTATAATATTGTATTAAAGATAAAATTTCACCCTTCAAAAAAGATTTAGAAGATAAAACAACAGGATTTCTAAGGGAACAATCACAATAATATTTCTATCAGCAAAAAAAAAAAATCACAATATTATTTCATATTTATCAAGACTGGCAATAGTGTTACATCATACATTACTTACATCTAATAAAATCTGATCACCAACAATTCAATATCTTTCGAGTATTACGTATTTTTATATCTAACGTAATGAATTGAAGGTCCCCACATATACAATCCAACATATATAACAATGTAATGTTATTAATTATTTTAGAATTCGTAAAGACACGAACAAAGTGGTCCCAACTTTTATCCATGGGGCTGATCTCTTTCGTCTAATTTCGTGCTCTTGAATGATCAAGACCCAGATAGTAGCACTCAATCTAGGTTGTAAAAGACATTACTTGTTTGTTGTATTTTGAAAGAGAAGTTCGGATGTCTATCCAACATTAGTCTAGTCACAAGGATTCTTCCCCAGCAACCAAAAAAATAAATAAAATAAATAAAAAATAAAAACTTTACTCACAAGGAAACCTTAAAAAAAAAAAAAAAAAGAGGAATCCGTTACGCAAACCAGTGACGCAATTAAAACTAGGAGTATTCATCGGTTTTTAACTGACAATTTCGATCGGTTTCTTACTTAAAAAAAATTTGTGAACTGTTTTCTCCTTAAATTTTAACCATTCAAATATTTAATATTTAAATAGTTAAAATTAAAAAGAAAAATAGCTTAAAAGACAAAAAAAATAAAGCCTAAAAGAATGTATCCTTAAGGACTAAGACTTTACATCTAATCTCAATTTGAAAATTTATTTATATTGAAGTCCATCATAACTTGTAAGTTGTGATGGAAAAATGAAATACATAGCCCTTTATATAGAATAGTTGAGGGAATACATTTTCATCTCTTTTCAATGCAGGACTTTCAAAAGTCTGATGTGCTTAAATTTTCAAACACATTAGACTTTTAATAGTCCCACATTGAAAAGAGATGAGAATATTCAATAATATGATGGACTTATATTCATCATCTACAAGATTAGAGGTTCAAATATATGGATAATAACTTTTTCTTTTTAAATTGGTCGGTTGGTTTGGTTTAACCGATCACTTCGGTTGGCAAAATCAAAATCAAACCTCCCATGAACCATAGGTGGTCGGTTAACCGACCGAATTAGTCGGTTTGCTGACGTGGAACCGAATTCTCAATTTGTTTCGATCGGTTTGGCAGTACGGTGTCAGTCGGTTTCAATTTTTTGATTTTTTTGAACACTCCTAATTAAAACATATGGGAGGTGAACAAATTCGTCCAATTAAACAAGTTGTGTCAGCGTAGTCGGTGATTGTAACAATCTAATCTTAAAGACTTTTTATGGGCTAAAGATAGGCTCTTAGCTAGGGTACGAAACAATGGGCTATGGTCTCGTTCATTTCATTGATTCGAGTTTTCAATTCTAAGGTCTTGTTCGCTTCGCGGATTTGAGTATTCAATTCGAACTGAGATGTTACATTTTTTAAGAGTTTTTAACTGTAGTAGAAAAAGTTATATGTACATTTTATGATAGCTTTTAACTGTAAAAACCTAGAACTGAAAACTTGAATCGGTGAAATAACCGAGGCCTAAGTTTTCACAGTTAAAAGCTCTCAGAAAGTGTGTCATTTAACTTTTTCTGCTATAATTAAAAATTTTTAGAAAATGTCACATCTCAACTCAAATTGAAAATTTGAATCCACAAAACGAACGAGGCCTAAAGATATTTGTTCACATTTTCCGTTATCAACATTAATGTATATAGCAGACACAGCAAGTTTTTTTTTTAAAGATATATGTATATGTGTTTATATATATATATATATATATCTGCATGTATGTACGTATGAAAATCAATTATCGGATGACGAGTGGGATACGAAAAAAATAGAAATTGTAATAAATTTAAAAAAGTGTGTGACCACAATCTGTATTTAAGGGATGGCCTATTTGGAACATACAATGCTGACTCAACAAATCCCACCGTCTTCAACATGCAGTGGCGGTCTATTGGGGCAAAGGATCAAATCTCAACAACCCAATTTTCTCATGAAGATTGTCCGTGATGAACAATCAAGCTTCATTTGTCAAGGAAATTTTGACTTAATATAAAAAAAAAAGTCCCCGGTGGTAATAATTTTTGGATTTTGAGATGAAGTTAAGAAGAGAAATTAAAGGCTCTAATGCCATGTTTTATTCTGATTGTTAGGTTAGCCTGAGATCTAATTTACGCTTTATGCCGATTTTGTTTCAATGTCCTTCAAATTATCAGGTATTTCCTTGATTGATTGCAGTGATATTTAAATTTTTAACGGTTAAATTTATAAATGTCCATATAAACATTTAAAACACGTAACGCGGCGTTAAAAAAGTAATCCAACATTTAAAAAGTAATACCGACTAAATAAGATTAAAAAACCTTTTCATGTCCTTAACATTATTCATCAAAAATTGTCTTTTTTTTAATAGAGAAATGCTCTTACTTTTCAAGTTCAATAATTGTTTGACACTTGTCACTCGTGAGCGTTGCGAAAGCTAAAATTTGTTTGGTGTTTTAAAAAAAAGGCTAAAAATTTGTTAACTGAACAAAGCGTGCAAAAAGCTCCAAACCCAAGCCACCACACCCTTGCAGGATTAGCCACATGTAAACAAGGCTGGTTGGGTGGCATGTGAAAGTCGAACTACAATTGATTTGTTAGTTTTGTCTTAATCCAAACGGACCAACCCTGCCTTGCTTCGACTACAATCAAAACGTTCTTTACCACAAAAAAAAAAAAAAAAAAGGCAACATTCATTAACTCACAGTCGGCAAACTAACTTCAACGTCATTTGAAATGAGTTTTAACTCTGATAGATAACGGCTGTAGATGATACGTATGGAGACAAAGGATTCGTTTAATTTGCTAATTTAAATTTTTAATTCGAATTAAAATATGAATTAAAATATAACTTTATGTGAGAACTTTTTATTATAGTAAAAAATTATATGTGACTGTTTTTTTAAATTTTTTACTGTAATAAAATTTAAATTTTAAACTTGAATCAGCAAAATAAACATGACTAAAATAATATCAAGTTAGTTTATAAAAGGACAAACACACTTTTCTCAAGTTTTTCTAGTTTCTATTAGTTGCTGGAAGCCCATCTTCCCAATCTCATAAAAGCTTTTATCCATAATAGACTGATATAATTTGATTATATATACTTTGACAAAAAAAAAGACAAATACCTTTTAGTTTAGAGTATATATATGCGTCTGAATTTGTATCTTTTATTCTTAATTCATACTTTTTATAGTTAAATAACTATATTAATTAAAAGAGTATTAATAAAAAATAAAGAGAAAATCAAAACTTATAAACTCTAAAGGTAAACTCAACAATTTTCTCCGTATTATAATTTTAATACGGGCGCTTATTAACATACGCTAGTTGTATTTTTCTTTTCACAACTACATTCCAGCAAAAGTCAACCACGCTATCGGCTATCTATGTAAGTCAGTTTTCACTTGTAATTTCTTTTTTCATACTATGTAGTGCTACTAGTCCTGTATTCATAATTATGTTGATAACTACAATTTGTTTACCCGCAAAACACACTTTAGTCTTAGATGCCACATATAGAAGAGGGCTCAAGCATACCTATTCAGATTCCTCAATGTGAGAGTCATCGCCAAATTCTGCGGAAACTGATCTCGCC